GTTCGCCCTGACCCGGGGTGGTAGCACCTGTTAGGGTCCCAGCTATGGGCAAATAGTTAACCCCGAAATCGAGGTAAAAAGCATTATAAAAGTGTCAAAATAGGTTTTAATACCAGAAATACTTTGTAAAAAATTATTACCAGAAATAAATTTTCGAAGAAAAAAACTCTTGCCAGCAATATAGTTTTGAAAAAAAAAAAAAGACAAACTGTTACCAGCAATATATTTTAAACAAAAATATTACCAGCGATATAGTTTTGAAAAAAGAAACTGTTACCTGCAATATATTTTTGAAAAAAAAAGAATATTACCAGCAATACGTTTTTGAAAAAAAATAGAATATTACCAGCAATACATGTTTTAAAATAATATAACCAGCTATACATTTTTGAGGAAAAAAATATTACCAGAAATAAATTTTTCGCAAAACAAAATATTACCAGAAAAAAATGTTGTCGGCATTAAATAACCCATTGAGGTTGATATGCTGTAAAACACAACAAACCAATCAACATCGGATATGCAGAAGTATTTGACAGTTTTTACACACATTGTGTCCCGAAAAGGAAACACAAGAAAAATTATATAGAACCCTAAATGCAGTAACTGAAATCCAAACCGATCACACATTCCCAATGTTGTCACAACGTTTTAGTTACGTTGCGAAATGTTGTGGCTGAAAAGATCCTCACCGGTCAATTAAAGCATCAGAGAAGGTATATATATATATGTTTTTCATATTTTTCTAAATTGAAAAACATTAATCTAAATCAGTGGTTCACAATCTTTTTTTTTTTACCCATCGACCACATTTACTCTTATTTTTTTTTGATGGACCCCTATAAGCATTTAATGAAAAAAAAAAAAAGCTTATTTTATATTTTGCGAATAGATAGGTTTAGGAATTGAATTATAGCAATAGTAAATGTATATGCTTTATTTTGAAATAAAACTAATTAAAGTAAACTTGTATTTAACAACTTAATTCTATGGGACATACACTATTAAAATAACTCAAGAGAAACTATTTTTAAAATATGTGAGTAATTAATAGATTTTTAAAAAGGGCAGAGTTATACAATGAAATCTCTGTGGTAGATGCTGCTCTGCGAGTTTTTTTTTTATATACAGTGTAACCCGGATATAAGAGACCCGGATATAAGAGAAACCCGGATATAAGAGAGATTGTCTCTGGTCCCAAATTAGAGCCTGTGTTAATGTATATAAAATAGACCAAACCCAGATATAAGAGAAACCCGGATATAAGAGACTTCTTTTCCGGTCCCGACAACTCTCTTACATCCGGGTTACACTGTATATTCGGCTTCATCGATGTCAGTCGAAGATCACTCTTTTTACAATGTCGTGTTTATTACTATATTAAATAATCTATATTAATATTTTATTTTATTAATATTTAAAATTAATATTATTATTTATTAGTAGTATATTAAATTAATTAATATAATAAAGTATAATCTTTATATAATTTTCCTTACATCCGGTAGGGTAAAACGGACGCTAACTTGTATGACTTGATCTCGTTATCTGCTAGTTTTAGAGTCGTTTTTCTATTTTTACTATTTTAAATATGGCGTAGATTACTGTAGACATTTTAATTCCCAGCTGTAACAAGCGTTCCGAATTGAAATTGTTCTATGGACCACTAAAATATTACCGTGGAGCCTCAATTTGCTATTTTTTTTTTGTTGTGTGGACCTCAGCAAATTTACATGTATATATATATTTTTACACCTGCTAATAACGTTTCAAAAACCATGGGCCAAGTTCATTTTTTTTTTTAGCTCAGCTTGAGCCCGGAGGGGTGCGAAGGGAGTAGGTAAATCACTTACTCACCGAATAAGCTTCCATTGGCAAATAATACAATTTCGTATAGTGAGGATCGAACTTATTACTCGGTATTAAAAATGAGCTGTATTAACGTTGATACCCATTACACTCGGGCCGATTATTGGTTGGTCGATTTTACCTGTCAATACTTGACAAATTATTCAATGTCGACTTTTATATACGTCACCCAGTTAGGATCGAACTCACTACTCGGTATTAATGGTCAACCATATTAACCCTGATAACCATTACACCTACTTTAATCATTGAGGTTAACTTTTGGGGGCTTATTCAGTGCCGTATTTTGTTTCGGACCTTATAATGAGAAGCGATCTCACTTCTAATAATCAACTAAATTAGCTTCAATATCTGTTTATATTTATCTGTTTATATTTATCTGTTTATATTTATCAGATATAATTGTAATTATTCACACTATTTACATTGTTTGATCTGTTGTCCACATCTTTGTTGTCATATTCACAATATTTCAGCCGCCCTACGCTTCGGCTTTCTTCATGTGTTGTATAACCTTCATTGAAAGGCAGGGTGTTGTTGATTGCTCTCATCTCGTCTGGCCGGTGATTGCTGGTCGTTTTAGTTCAATCCTCTTTTTCTTTTGGTCGGTGTCGCGAAATGTTTTTTGGGTTCAGAGACAAAAAGCATCAACTTAACTATTATTTTATGAAACACGTGGACGGATAAATCTTCTAGCAAAGGAGGTGGGGCTCATTAAAACCCTTATTTGGGAGGTGCTTCCAAACACGAAAATCTCACACGTCCATTTCTTTGACGTGTAACAACCAACTCTCGAAGGACCCTTTGCCCCTGGGGGTGGGGGATTTGCACAAACGCAATCTAACACGTGTTGTTGGCCTGACGTCCGAAGAGTAACTTCCCGAAAAACCTTAATCTATAATTCACTCCCCCGTTCGGCTCAGCCAATCAAAATCTACTTCCCTATTTTGTCTACCATCTGACCTTAAAGGTCAGCCTCAGAAGGCCTGAGCCAAAATACACTGATACTAAAAAAAAAAAAAGTCTTAAACTATTATTTATCACATGGACACATGGCCCAGTGGGGAAAAGCATTGGTTGAAATAATCCACTGACTTGATCCAAAGAATTGCGAGTTTAATACCTGGCCACAAGAGAATTGAACAAAAATTTGGAGGGTCGAGTTGAAGGGAGATAACTGTAAATGGGCATACCCGGAAGAGGTATGGCACATAGAAGTACAATAAGCTACCTCGGTGGACGAAATAAAGATTTTGGTTCAAAATTCCAATCACCTGAACAAGGCCGGAACGTATGATATCCGAAACGTCGTAAATATAACAACAAAGATGAGGACAACAGTTCGAAAAATCTAAATAATGTAAATAAATTAGTTTCATTGTCCATTATATGACGTCGGGTGCTTTTTTTCTTTCTTTTTTTTTTTTTTAAATAAACGCTCATACTTCATACGTTATTGCTATCGAGCGTTGATGCACGTCTGTGTGTGTGTGTGAGTGTGCGGAAAGAAAGAGAGAAAGAGCGAGTGGGAGAGTGAGAGTGTGTGCATGTGTGTGTTTATGCGGAAAGAGAGAGAGAAAGAGAGTGGGAGAGAGAGCGTGTGTGTGCGGAAAGAGATAAGGAGAGAGAGTGTGTGTGTGCGGAAAGAGAGAGCGAGAGAGGAAGAGAGTGTGTGTGTGTGTGTGTTAGAAAAGAGAGAGGGAGAAAGATAGAGAATGTGCATGTGCGGAAAGAGAGAGGGAAAGAGAGAGTGTGTGCAGAAAGAGAAAGAGGGAGAGAGAGGTGTGTGTGTGATGAAAGAGGGAGAGAGAAAAATAAAGTGATGGAGGGAGAGAGAGTGTGTGAGTGTGTGTGTGTTTTTGTGCGGAAAGAGAGAGAGACAGAGAAAGAGTGTGTGTACGTGTGTGTGTGTGTGGAAAGAGTGTGAGAGAGAGAAAGAGAGAGTGAGAGAAGGAGAAAGAGAGTGTGTGTGTGTGCGAGTGAGAGAGTGAAAGAGAGATAGACTAATGGTAGAAAACAATGAAGGGCGTGACAAACAAAATAGATAGCATTTAAGCGTTATTTAAATTGAAATTCCTTTTCCTAGCGTATAATAAACGGTGCTCAGCAACGAAGCGCGAAGTCGAGCCTGCATTATGCTGACGTAAAGTTTGCAAAGAAAATCGAAAAAGAAAATTCGATATATTTGCATATGGAGGGAGACGGCGTGAACAAGAGATGGAGAGTAATAGGAGGAGGAAAGAGACCAAGGTGAACAGAGAGAGAAAGAGAGAGAGAGAGAGAGAGAGAGAGCGTGAGAGAGGAAGGAGGAGGAGAAAGAGAAGAAACAAATGCTTCATAAAAAGAGTATCGATGGATACAGGCGGCGGTGACAGCCGACAAAGAACAGCAGGTTGGTTCAGGATTCAGGGCGAAGCGTGAGACGGAAATTCTATTCATTGTTTGCCTCTGTGGGTGAAACAGTAGCGAATTCAGGACGAGTGACGATCAGCGCCCCAGTCACAGCGCTAGTTAGATTTCCAAAATTCGTTTATGAAGTTTGGCAGTTGGTAGGAAATGACGGACAATTTTGCGTCGAAGAAATTCTACCAAGGAATATTAGAGAGAGAGAGGTGGGAGACTGTGGAGAGGAGAGAGAGAGAGAGAGAGAGAGAGATCAAGGAAGGGGAAGAGAGAGACTGCAATGAATCTTTTCAGGACTATAAGAATTACAAAGAAACTTGCAAACAATCAGAAAAAGTCAGCAGTTGAAAAACGTAGGATACATAATGAGGAAAGACGGCTTGGAGAATCTAGCACTCACAAAACACATTGAAGGTAAGAGAAGCGGGGGGAAACTACTTGACAATTTTGAGTAAATCGAGGGAGATAGAAGTGCCACAATAGCAAAGACGTATTGCAAAGTATTAATTATCTCTGGGAACACTAGGAAAATGAAGCTGTGGAGTACCATGATCAACCTCATATTTAGAGTACATCACACACACACACACAGATACAAAGTTAGAGAAAGGTTTGAACATCTTTCACAAAGCTTCGGCTATGGGGAAAAATTTAAAAAAAAAACAAATCAAAAAGAAACATTTTGGGGCGGAAAAATCTTGGTAGCAGTATATAGATTTTAAATTTCAATGTTTGTCGAAAATCTGCTCATATCTATCTATCTATCTATCTATCTATCTATCTATCTATCTATCTCAATCTGTCCCCGTCCTCGGTATGACGATAAACTACATCCGCGCCCTGAGTAAGACGATAAACTCTGATCAGGAGGTTTTGAGGAGCGTGGAATCACCTCTTAATTTCTGGTGTTCCCAGGTTCACCTTGACCCGGGGTGGTAGCACCTGCCAGGGTTCCAGTTATGGGCAAATAGTTAACCCCCAAACTAGGGTTAAAACTCTATGAAAGTGTAAAAATAGGGTTTAATACCAGAAATACTTATTACCAGCAATAATTTTTGAAGAAAAATTATTACCAGCAATACATTTTAAAAACAACAACAACAACAACAAAAAACAAACTTACCAGCTATACATTTAAAAAAAAAATTACCAACAATTAAAATCTTGTCGGCATTAAATAACCCATAACGTTGACATGCCGTAAAACAAAACAAACTCAGTCTGTCCATATCTATCTATCTATCTATCTATCTATCTATTCTGTCTTTATCTATCTATCTATCTATCTATCTATCTATCTATCTATCTATCTATCTATTACATGTATATCAAAGAGAAAATAATGACAGAATGTACATGTCATTCTGAGCTACTCTAAGTTAAAGGCTAGAAAGGAAACCTCCGTCAATACTAGAAAGAGCGATAAAGGTAAATAGTGAGAGAAGTGTAGAGGTAGGACATAATAGATAATGCTCCTTCTGAGCACCCATATTTGCGTCTATCTAGGGCAGTGGTTCTCAAACATTTTTCTTTGGGCCGCATTTTCGAAATGAAAAATTTGCTCGTGCCTCAGCAAAATTTATATGATAAAAAATGAAAGAGTGATTTAAAGGAAAATAACCGCGGATTCGAATCCAGAACATTATCATTGATAACTCTCTCCTCCAATTTGCTGACCCTAGTTACTATATTCTTAATACTTGATATAATGCAAAAATATCAAAATGATAAAATCAATCAATAATTATTTATAACTACAGTGTAACCCGGATATAAGAGAGTTGTCGGGACCGGAGAAGAAGTCTCTTATATCCGGGTTTCTCTTATATCCGGGTTTGGTCTATTTTGTTTAGGTAAGTATGGGCTCTAATTTGGGACCAGAGACAATCTCTCTTATATCCGGGTTTCTCTTATATCCGGGTCTCTTATATCCGGGTTACACTGTATTTATACTGGGAATCATGCAGGCAATTACAAGTAATCCATAATAATATTTTTAAATTTTGAAATAATTTTGAAACGGTTTCTAAATCTTTGTCTTTCAATCTTTCCGCCTCACCGGCTATCTTCTTCCGCCACACCTTATGAGGCGCGTTGTACCGTTTGGGAACAACTGCACTAAAGAGTACGTAGCATGGCGGGTTTTAGCTGCGAAAGCGAGAACTGGTAGAACTAAGGAATGTAATTTATCTCACTACAAAGGATAAGAAGTAGAGAGTCATGGGTGTTCTTTACCCTGAAGGGACACGTCACCTGCAGAAAAAGAAGAAGAAGAAGAAGAAGAAGAAGAAGAAGAAGAAGAAGAAGAAGAAGAAAGGTACAATATTGGACAGCGCTGGGAGGACTGGATATCTTACACATGTAAAAGTGAAGCGGAATATACTGGAAGATACTGACCTATGGTTAGAGAAAAGTAAAGGCATGAGACAATAGATAATATTTGTTGTCAATGTCCTTGGAACTTAGATCGGCGAAACTCGTCAATTTATGAGTCAGAAAAGGCATAACTATCCCAATTTGTAGACGTCGTTGGCGATTGCTCGGGCCCTTGTCAAGTTCGCTACCTAGAACAATCCTTTGCTGGGCAACACATAGAAACAAAAAGCACAGAAGACTGTTAGAGACCCTGGTATGGAAGGGTCGGGCGATATCACAGCGGCGGCAAATGGTCTAACACTGCAAACTGTTCTACACGCAACAGCTGATAGACAGGAGGTGGTTTTGTCTCGTCATCGCCTCAAGTGACATTCTACACGAAGAGGACTGACTGACTGACTGATCCTAATTTGTAACAGATTGTCTGACCTGTCAGTTCACCCGCGGCATTTGATCAAGCTTTGACTGCTGTAACCAGTCCCCACTAACCGATTGATCAGTGTTTCTTGCACCTCGTGATGGATTTTATTGATTAGTATCGTCAGCTGTTGAAGCCTGTCAAGTCATTACATTGTATGTGAAAGCTGTCTGAGTAAAGATGGACATTGTATCAGTTGTTTTCTGGACCGGGACGGGAAAGGAACGGTTGGATTTTTATAATTTATTGGGTACGCCGAACGATAGAACATTAATATTGTATTTATATACAAACGTCGCGCCTTAAAAAAAAAATAAAACGATTGGATGATTTGTGTATGGAAGGACACCCGAACATGAAATTAGCGAGAGAGCGACGAATAACAATGAATCGACTCTAGTAGGGTAGGAAAAGGAGGCACAGTAGAGTAATGGAGAGCCGAGTTCGATTTCTAGTCACTTATTCACATGCTAATACCCTTGGGAAAGATATGAATCCTCTTCTTCACCCCCCAATGGATAAATAGCAGGACAGACCGTGTTCTATAGCCTCTGATGGTCTACCGCATAAAGAAATGGCAACCAACTGTGTGAGAAATCTGCCTTGTCGGTCATGTATCGAAAGATACATGATCGCCTAAACGTGAATGGTACATAACTGACAGACTGTAAGACAGGTGTTGTAGAGTGAATAAAGAAGTCATCACCCAACATGGCTGCGGAGATGCTTTCGAATTCTGTGAAGGCAGCGAAGTGTGGATTAGTTTCAGCCCAGATATGGCAGCAAGACTTTTCTTTTTATGTGCCATGTCCTTTCAGGACGTAGGCGATCATGGCTCTCCACCTCCCTCTATCCCTTGCAGCTCTCAACAAGTTCCTTCCCTCTGCTTCCCCCCCCCAGACCACGTTCTGTCAGCCATTTGCTTAAGCCCGCTAGGTATGTCACGCGTTCTTTTCCCTTGTACCCCTCTATTCGACCTGTGAGTATCAGATTCTCCTGGCACTCCTTCCTCATTATGTGTCCTAGATACTTCAGCTTCTTCTTCCTGATGTTATACATAACACCAGGAAGAAGCAGCTGTATAAGCTCCACCTTGTTTGCAACCTCTCTACGACTTCATTGTTGCTAACACGTTCGATATCCTTAGCATCCTTCTGTAGAACCACATCTCCGTCGCCTCGAGTCTCTTCTTCATCTGTGAGGAAATCGTCCAACATTCGCTAACGTAAAGAAGGACAGATGTCACGTAACAGCTCAGCATTCTTTGTGTTCCAAAAAATACTCCTGTCTCGCGATTCTCTGTCCAGGTTTTGGAATGTGTCCTTGGCCATCCCAATACGTCTATGGATCTCAGTGTTGCACTTACCGTCCTCTGTCAAGAGGCTTCCAAGATATTCTAGTGTTCCCGACCTGCAAATCGCATTTCGGACTCTTCCTCTTACTGATTCCCATGTATTCTGTCTTCTTGTAGTTTATGCTTAGTCCTTTCTTCTCACTATCCGTTGTTACCGTCTGTAGGAGATTTTGTAATTTCTTTTCTGTGTCTATTTTTGTGTTTATTTTTCTTTTGTATCAATATTCCGTCAAAAGACTTTGTTCGTTTTATTGATATATCTGTTTAGAATGTTTGTTCTCTAATTGTGTATGCTGTTATTTTCTGTCATAAGAAAATATTTGTTTAAATTTCTTCATCCTTCGTCCTTCTTTTTTTACAACAGAGTAGAACATTTTTTTAAAAGAATGCTTACTGCAATTTTTATTATCGTATTTGTAGCACTTGTTTTCTAATATTGCATGCTATCTTTTTATACGTTAAATTGCTGAAAAATTCTTGGCTAAAAACTCCTTTTTTTAGAGTTGGACGGGCGTAACTCATTTTTTGTTTACGACAAGTATTTCCGTGTCTGTTATTATTATTATTATTATTATTATTATTATTAGTTTACACTCTATTTGTCAAAAATGACAGCAATTGTTAGAAAGTTTTACAAGTAAGATGCAATGAAACAAAAGTCTTGAAACAATGTATTGAGATTCAATAAAGAAATCGCAACTAAAATAGAAGCCAATAAACCGTTTAATTAATCCGTTCCCTTTATATATTTTTTAGACTTTCAATGGTATCTTTGATCCATTGATTACTCCTGATATTATATAAATCATTTTTGCTCAATATATTTTCATGTTAAAATTTTTATGCGTGTAATATAACAGTGAAATAGAAACATCACTTGAAGGAAAATGATTAGCAGCAGAACGACAAAGATGACAAGGACAATGCATATTTCAAGACCAATTTGAAACAAGACGATCACATAATAGAAAAGGTACCTGAGTGCCTCACACAAAAGGCTTGAACAAATAAGACTGCAATCTAAGATAAGTAGGAGTGAAAGAACTGGTTCAATTTGCCCGGGAACTTTTTTTTTTGAAGGCAGATAAATATTTTAATCGTATAGATTAATAAATGACTAAGGGAAGTAATCATTAATGAATTTAGTAAATTAAGTTGATTTACCTCCCTTCCCACTGCAGATGGGACAGGAAATATATAAATAAATACACAGTGATAATTATTATATGGTTTGATAGAAGCCTTCACGTTTGACCTTCCACTTATGATGTTTTAAAAAAGAAATTGCACGGAGAGATTGCAGGATTAACACACACACACACACACACACACACATATATATATATATATATATATATATATATTGCATGTAGCTCGTGGACTAGTTTTTTACGGTATGCGGGGAACCATTTTCTTGGTCAATATTTTCCTCTAATTTTAGTCAGTTTGGTAAATTTATCCTTCACCTTTTCCAAATATTTTTAGTAGCTGTATTGGGTTTCACCTAACCACTAAAAAGACAGTCAATCAGTATTAAGCTAAGCACGGTCTCTTATTGTTTATCTACGAGGATGGGAAGCAAACTCGGCCACCTTATCAACACGTATTCGTCATGATGACAGGGTACAAATGCAATTTTCAACAATGGCTCGGGTTCTTTTTAGAATTTTATAAGAAGAAATAAATTTGACAAATACTAAGGAAAGCGAAGCTCACCACCATTGAAAATGAAACGCGCTTCTACCAGTCTGTCTCAGTTCAGAGTTGATGGCTCTGCCTAAAATGAGTTGATGTCCTTTCCATAGGTAATAATACCCAGGCAAAGAGCCTGCTGCAACTTTCCCTCAGTAAATAATGTCCCTTTTCTGCCCCTGAGTTTGAGATCCATGATATATAGAAAACATTAAAGAAAAAGTCCCTCACCCCGGAAAAATGATGTTATTTTTTTTTAACCTAGAAAGAGTTACTGAATGAGGAATAACTAAATCGGAGGTTGGAAATGAAATGGTAATCTTTATAACATCAACAAAATACAATACTCGCCAGCGGCGTGGAGTAGGTAAACCACTGCTAGTAGTGGACTACTTAGACACCATATTACCCCCACTTACAATAGTGTCCAACGTATTTATATGGAATGGAACATACCCGTTAGTATTCATAGGTACGGTATATAACATGCTGGCATTTCAATGTTTCCAAGTTTCGTGAAAATATCCGTTGGTTTGAAAGAATCTCTATAAGAATTTTATAAACGGGGAAAGAGTTTATTTAGCGGGAAAAACAAAAAGAAAAGAAAAATGATGAAATGATTTGCTTCTTCACATAATAAACACTATCCTACTATTTATATTTTATTCTGTCAACTGATATATAGTGAGTGTACGAAGGGTCACGTGACAAAAATGAACCTACCCCCACCCTGCCTGTCCACAGGTCATTTCCACTTTGTTCTTACGTGTTACTTTTCTGATCTTCGTTCTGTCAAATTATGGGGCAAGCCCGATTTGGTTAAACTATTTTTAATTTGAACGCAATTAAGTAATTTATAAACAATTTTTGTTTTCTCTTTTGTGCTTTCAGGCAAGAAAAAACAAAAAACAAAAAAAAAACCCCCTCTCTCTCTCTCTCTCTCTCAAACACACACACACACACACACACAATAACGTATATACATATAATTATCTTCATACAGCTTTAAGAAAAGAATTCAGGGCGAAAAATGTCAGAGAGCACTCGAATTTATATTAAGAAAAACGTGATAACCTCCGCTTCGCAGGGCAACCTTGGCATGGTGTAATGGTTAACGAGCATGTTTCTCCGATCATGCGTAGTCAGTTCGAGCTTCAATGAGGACTCCATGACTCTGGGCATCTTCCACAACTAGGCTGCGATTATTAATTTGATACGCCTCATTTTCGTGTAACTGTCAACTGAATTTGTAGATCATTAGAAGGGAGTTCGATCCTGATTGGGTTTCCCACATTTTAAGCTTTCTGTCAAAACTAAGCTACCCTTCATAAATAACCACTTCAGTTTCTTACAAAGAAAAAAAAAACTCAGATAAATAATATTTTCATTTTTCTACTTTAAATTAATAAAAAATTATTAGAAAATATTAAAATTAAATTAATAAGAAAATATAATTTCATTGAAAAATCTAATTCTGTTTATTATGAATTAAATAAAGTTGATAATTCAAATAAAAGTCAAATTAAATTTTAATAAAATAAAATTTTTAACACATTTTTATCTCTATTTTAATCATATATTGTCTTTATTAGTCCTCCTATATAGCATCGTCCTGGGTATGACAATAAACTACATCCGCGTCCTGGGTAAGACGATAAACTACATCCGCGTCCTGGGTAAGACGATAAACTACATCCGAATCCTGGGTAAGACGATAAACTACGTCCAACAGCAAGGCCTCTGATAATACGTTTTTGAAAAAATAATATTACCAGCTATACGTTTTTGAGAAAAAAATATTGACAGAAATGGATTTTTGACAAAACAAAAATATTACCAGGAAAAAGAAAAGTTGTCGTTATTAAATGACCCACTGAGGTTGATATGCCGTAAAGCAAAACAAACCAAAGCTATAGCAGTGAAAGATGGACAGCCTCCTTGTACTAGAACCATTCCATTTGTTTCTATCTCGAAGAATTCACAGACAATAAAAGGTAGAAATCTGTGAAAGAGCCATAATCTTCCACGTTCTGAAGAGTCATAACATTTTAAAAAAATAAAAATAAAATGTCTCCTTCTCAGATAATGTAGAAGCAGTTTTTCGGACGTCGGTATTCTCGGTAAACAACTATCCTGGGTATAACGATAAACTGTATCCGATAGCAAGGCTTCTGATTGGGAGATTGGAGCTTTTGAGGAGCGTGAAACCACCTCTTAACTGTTGTTCACAGGTCCACCCTGGCCTCGGGGTGGTAGCACCTGTTAGGATCCCAGCCATGGGCAAATAGTAAACCCTCAAACAAAAGTACATTTTTTAGCAAAATGACAATACAATACTAAAAATATATAAAAATGTATTTTTATAATAAAATTACCAAAAATACATTAAAAAAAATTATCAACAATACATTTTATCTCCTACAAACTATATATCTAAAACGTGTTTACCCTGAAAGTATAACATTATGTAGGTAATATTTAGATTTCGGCATTAAATATCCCATAGAGGTGTTGATATACCTTTAAAAAAACAGCCGAATCAGCTCGGCAAACAAAAAAGTGAGAACAGCCTTACGCAATCTGTAACTAAATGAACTAAGGAATAAGGAGTGCTAGAAAAAGGCAATGAATAACAACATAAAAATTGTAATATAAGCTCCGGTAAAAAAATTTGAAATAATAATAATAATAACGGAAAGATTGCAATATGAGCACTGGTAAAAAAATATGGTGAGACATTAGGTTTATAACTCCCAGAAATTCACGCAAAGATGTTTTCAGGTATTCATGGTCCAGTGGATATGGACGTTAGTTAGTATCTATGATTGGACTCGATGTGTTGTGAGTTCAATACGAACCTACAGCAGTGAACAAAATAAAATGGTCGGAGAGTTGAGTTAGGGGGAAATATTGCAATATAATATGATGTAGTTTAATAATGCAATTAATGATAATGGTTTATCTATAGACAACGAAACGAAAGTTTTCACTTAAAAGCTAAGTTTTCAAATGCTTATTTTAAAGACAAGCAAAAAACCTCACGCGCGAAAACCCTGTGCGTTATGATGCGTATCAGATTTAACTTAACTCGGTAAATATCGATACACGAATCTATATTATTATTCTTTTAATGGATACACGTGTTTGTAATTTTATTTAACAGTGTGAATTACATCTACTGGACTAAGTCTGTCCTCGATATGACGATAAACAACATCCGGCAGCAAGGCCTCTGATCGGGAAGTTTTCAGGAGCGTGGAACCATCTCTTAATTACTGCTGTTCCCAGGGGTGGTAACAACTGTTAGATTGTTGGTTGGTTGGGTTTTATGCCTTATCAACCACTGTAGATCATTTAATGCCAAATTAAGTTATATATATATATATATATATATATATATACAAACACATATACCTGTATATATAAAATATACAGTACTATTAAACGTATAGCTGACAACATTATTTTTCCGAAAACATTCTGAGGCCTTGCTGTTGGACGTAGTTTATCGCCATACCCAGGATGCGGATGTAGTTTGTCATACCCAGGGTGTGGATAAGATCTGGAAAAACTAGGAGTTCACTATTTGCCCATAGCTGGGACCCTAACAGGTGCTACCACCCCGGGTCAAGGTGGACCTGGGAACACCAGCAATTAAGAGGTGGTTCCACCCTCCTCAAAACCTCCTGATCAGAGGCCTTGCTGTTGGATGCAGTTTAACGTCATACCCAGGACGAACAACTGTTAGGGTTCCAACTATTAAATAGTTAACCCCTAAACTGGGCTCAAAACTTTATGAAAGTATAAAAAAGATTTTCTACAGAAACAATACTAGCAATATATTTTTGAAAAAAAAAAAATTACCAGCAATATATTTTTTAAGAAATTTTTTTTACCAGAAATACATTATTGAAAACAAAAAATTACCAGCAATACATTTGACTCGCGACAAAAACCCTATTTACAAAAATACGTCAACGAAACCTGATCTACAAACTGATTTCTTCTATTGATACGACCTATCCTAAAAATCTTTTCGGCATTAAATAACCCATTGAGGTGTTGATATGTCGTAAGAAAAAAATAATACAAACTAAGCATTCGTGAATCTTAATTAAAAAAACGTGCCCTCTGGAAGGACTCGAACTTGTGCATCCAATTGTAGAGAAAACCACTCTAAGCTATCGTGCTTTTGACCATTCGCCCACAGAGCGTATCCATTAATATGTAACGTTTAAAATGATAAAAAAGAATTAAAAATAAAAATCAATTCAATGTATGTATTACAAATATATTTGCCGTGGTGTGTCTATAAATAACAATAAAGTACTTCTTCGATTTCCGTTGATCGATTTTCCGTACTTCGATTATCCGGACGGGAAATGAAAAGAAAAACTGAAATCACGCGAACTTTGTATCCTTTTCTTTCCTTCTTCCTTTCTCACACTCCTTCTTTATTCCCCTTTCATCTCTCTCCTCCTTATACCTCATATCCCTCTCTCCACCTGCCTCTTCTTCCCTTCACCTCTCTCGTCCTCTCTCCCTTCCCTTTCTCTAGCTCCATTATTCTCTTCCCCTCCCTCCCTCCTTTATTCCTCCTTCCTCCATCTCCCCCTCTCTCACCCTTCTTGTCTCCCCCCGTCTGTCATTTCAGATCTTTATTCCCCCTTCATTATATCTTCCTATATCTTCCCATCCTCTCAACTCCTTCCTCTCCTTCTCTCGTCCTCTCTCTCTCACCTTCCCCTCGCTCCCTCTTTATTCCTCCTTCCTCCATCTCACCCTTCTTCTGTCTCCCCTCCCTCTGTTATTTCAGATCTTTATTCCCCCTTCATTATATCTTCCTATATCTTCCCATCCTCTTAACTCCTTCCTCTCCTTTTCTTGTCCTCTCTCTCTCCTTCTCCTCCCTCCTTCTTTATTCCTCCTTCCTCCATCTCCCCGACTCTCACCCTTCTTCTGTCTCCCCTCCCTCTGTCATTTCAGATCTTTATCCCCCCTTCATTATATCTTCGTATATCTTCCCATTCTCTTAACTCCTTTCTCTCCTTCTCTCGTTCTCTCTCTCTCCTTCCCCTCCCTCCTTCTTTGTTCCTCCTTCCTCCATCTCCCCTCTCTCCCCCTTCTTCTGTCTCCCCTCCCTCTGTCATTTCAGATCTTTATTCCCCCTTCATTATATCTTCCTATATCTTCCCATCCTCTCAACTCCTTCCTCTCCTTTTCTCGTCCTCTCTCTCTCCTTCTCCTCCCTCCTTCTTTATTCCTCCTTCCTCCATCTCCCCGACTCTCACCCTTCTTCTGTCTCCCCTCCCTCTGTTATTTCAGATCTTTATTCCCCCTTCATTATATCTTCCTATATCTTCCCATCCTATTAACTCCTTCCTCTCCTTCTCTCTCTCTCTATCTCCTTCTTTATTCCTCCTTCTTCCATCTCCCTCTCTCACACTCCTTCGTTATTCCCCCTTCCACTATCTCCCTTCATCTATCTCTCCTCCCTCTCTTACTTCATCTCCCTACGTTTCTTCTATCTCTCTTCTCTCTCATTCCTTCCATCTCCTTCGCTTCACCTCTCCACTTTATCTTCTTCTCCTCTCTCACACCGCCACCTCGTTAAAATCGAGATGAGAAATTGAAAGTGAAAAAGATGAGGAGAGAAATACAGAAAGTGCTTGTATACATGAGCAATCAAGGTTATGAGTATCTATAACTTAGTTTGTAATAAATCGTCCTTTAAAATATTCTCGTAATAAAAGAGTCAAAACCAGTTCTGTAAAGACTGATTTAATCAAACTCACTTATTCTTCTTTCCTCCTTTCAGTGACATTATCGGTCCTGACCTGACATCTCGGCTTCAGTCACATTCCCAACGCCATAACATTCTTTTACCTTTTCTAAAAATATTTTCAATTTTCAATTTTTCTGATGAGCTTTGCACGTTCGTTCCTCGGCTTCCTTCAATTTAAGCTAAGTCTCATAATTTCATTGTTGAAATTGCTAGTTGTAACCGTAATTTCTATGCTAATAGTTTCTTTATTTCGCACTTCTTGCTTGTGGCACTCTCTTTTGGCTTTCTGCTTTCCTGTCAAGTATGAACTCAATGTAATGTTAATTGTCATCTTCTACCTCCTTGAATCCTGTTCTTTTGTTGTCTTCTCTATCTCTTTCCTTCTCAGTAACATATTGCATCTTTAGTGGCTTTTATTGCTTTGCGTATTGTGAGAAAAGACGTCCTCTTCGTTGGCTAGTGGTCCCGTCTAACACAGAGGTAATCTACGGCCTCTGGTCTAAATACTGCAGGCCATATTATATTGTTTTGAAACTGCAATCTTTTATTGATGGTACTATAGTATGATATCTGCCGAGGCATTTGCGATGCACTCATTATTGTTGGAAAATTCCCAGACAAAACGATGACCTGTTTACTGTTTTGTTAAATGACATAAAATGTGTTTACAAACATTAAAATCACTATTTGATGATTTTTTTATATAAAAAAATTGTTCATGATTTGTAATACATAACCAGTTCATTGCTCAATACCTTTAACCATAACCCTGACCCTAAAATGTTTCATTCTTACAACAGTTAGTAAATATCATAGTAGAAAATGTATAGTAGATACCATACTACAATAATACACTTTTATGCTTTTCTTTTAAATATTATTATGCAGAAACTTGCAAAAACTTCTCATGCTGATGTACCTATGAGGACAGCTCACTTGATTTATGACGTACCGTTGAGGACCGCACACTTGATCTATGACGTACATATGAGGGCCGCCCACCTGATCAATGACATACGTATGAGGGCCGCCCACCTGATCTATGATATACCTATGAGAGCCACCCACCAGATCAAGGATGTACCTATGAGGGCCGCTCCCTGATCAATGATGTACGTATGAGGGTCGCACACCTGATCTATGATATACCTATGATGGCCGCCCATCTGATCTATGATATACCTATGAGGGCCGCCCATCTGACAATGAGACCCGGGTTCGAATCTCACCATGATCGATTTGTCAGGAACGAAACTTCCTGATGTTATCGGTCTGTAGGCGGGAGACGTTCCCATCGTGTGGCACATTTGGAAAGTGCCCCAAAAACCATGCCACACTTGGGGCCGTCAATATCTGTGCTAGCTGGAAGTCACAAGTCATCGTGGCCGAGGGTTTGAGTGTTCTGGTATTGTTCAGATTGTTGATCACGGTAGATGACACGCTCTCTCCCCGAAACTGTACCTAAGTTCTGCTCAGCATAGTTGCAGTATAAACCACAGGTTGGCTCTGTGGGTTTTGAACAAACACAAATATACCTGAGGGAGAGTCTACAATAGGGATTGGCTATCCGCCCTAGCATACGGGGTATCCTTGAATACGAGTGGCCATATATATATATATATATATATATATATATATATATATATATATATATATGTGTGTGTGTGTGTGTGTGTGTGTGTGTGTGTGTGTGTGTGTGTGTGCGTGCGTGTGTGTGTGTGTGTGTGTGTACTTATATTTTAGAAAAATACAGTACAAGCTTGTCTCAGTGAAAAATAACGATAATTTTTTAATAATGTACGACATTTAGTATTGTTAATATTCTGCACTTTGTTATTACCTTGTGTATTTTTTCTTTCTTTTTTATCGCGACTCATTTCATTTATCTCAGGACCCACTAATAGGTCAGGACCCACAGTTTGAAAAATCCAGGATAGATGACGATAGGGACGTACAGTTTTAGAGGGAAAAAAAGACTATTTCGACGTAACAGAACTAAATGTTTGATTTGACGGTCCATCAGATGTGCAGAAAACTTGGTGAGAAATAAAGCAGCCGTTAAAAATATTTGAAGGATTTTTAACCGACATTCGATAAGTGACGTAAATGTCTCAGACAATTACATTAAGCTGGAGAATGTCCCGGAAAGAAATGTGTACACACCAGAAATCAAAGGAAATAAAATACTACTACTACTACTACTACTACTACTATTAATAATAATTAAGCTAACCGCCCAGACATTGTAATTAGAGACCGCAAAGACAAATGTGCCTCCTTATTAATATGGCAGTCCCTGTAGACTGCAATGTATCTTTGAAGATCTTCAAAAAGCTATCAAAATACAAGGACCTTGAAATCGAAATCTCAAAAATGTGGCACATGGGGACATCAACAATTTCAGTTGTAGTTGGAGCCCTCAGATTGGTTGGAAAAGATTCCAGTAGACTAATTGAAGGGATTCCTGGAAGCCTTAAAGAAATACAACAAATTGTTCTCACGAGTACAACCCTCAACTAATGAAGGGCTTTATCTATGTAAAATATTGTTTTTTTTAATTGGTCAGTGGAAAATGTCAAGATGCCATTTCTAAATTTTCACGTATGGAATCTGGCCTCTTTGTCATCGGTAGAGAGTCAGTACACGGCCATATCAAAAGTCGGTGTTCAGTTATCGGAAATATAGTATAAATAACTTTCATTTGCAAACGAAATTTCTTTTTTTTCCCATGCAAGCTGTTGAGTGTCTGTCGAAGAGGATATATTTGCTTTAGTTAAAATGAAACGAGGTCAAATAACGATTTAAGTACGTTGTTGAAGCATTGTAGAAAGCAACATCTAAGCTATAAAGTAGGTTTTCTCTTTCTTTTTTTTTTAGGATCATAGGTATTAACTAAGCTAACTTCAGTCTCGTGCAGGATGATAAAATTGATAATGAAAATTGTGCCACGCAAATCTTCCGAGTGGGGAGGGCCAGTCAGGTTTATATTAATCGACATCGATGGGAAAGACGTAGTAATATTATTTTCGGGTTTGGGTACAAAAGGAGACACAAATACGTACATATCCGTAAACAAGAATATTCTCCCCTCCCCCCACATATATATCAGAGTTCCTGATGTTATCGGATATATATATATATATATATATATATATATATATATATATATATATATATATATTTCTGTACTTTACTGCTACCAGCAAGCAGAAATATTTCTCCTCCCGATGATGGCCATTTCGGCCGAAACTAGTCGAGGAATCTAAATGAAATAATAATAAAAAAAAAGAAAGAATATTAATCTACAAACCCAGTGTGTCTGAAGATTTTAATTTTTAATATTTTTTATTGTTCAATATATATATATATATATATATATATATATATATATAATTTAAATTTAAATAAATTAGGTTTACCCCATAAGGATTACCCAGTTTTCATAAACTATATATATATATATATATATATATATATATATATATATATATATATTCTTATCTACAGACAGACTGTTTCGCTGTATCACAGCTCATCAGTGTGGCTAGACGTCCGGTTGCCTCTAGCTAGGATCGAAAACTGACTGAATTGGCGTCAGTCTGGGATTCCACCACTAAGCCATTGGCTCACAGCAGGGATGAGGGTGAATTTAGCGTATTCATTTTTAGATACGGTGTAATTATCCAACTGTTAGATTAAGCTTTAAACCGTTTTATCTGAGAAATGATTAAAGATGTCTTAAAGGAATTCTCTGAGGTTTTTTTTATAACACCATTGGACTCTACTTTGAGCAATAAGAAAGTATTTAGCTCGAAGTTGAAATGATGAACTCTCTTGCTGTTCGGACCTCCGGATCCAGTTTTTCCACTCTACTGTTTCCTCTTTTTAAAACTTGATGGTTGCTGTTTCTTGAGTGGACTTTGAAGATGGAAGCCAGAGTATGAATGTTGGCACCATTACTGAAGGACTGAATGATCTTTTTCCACTCACCATTGCTCATTTGGGAAGACAGAGTGGGGCTGACACAAAACGATTGTAATCTGTTCTCTTCCTAGTTGAATAACTCAAAGAGTTTTTCAGTGATTCTTACGAGAAATTGTGTCAAGATGGCTAAATGTCTTATTTGAAAACCCGAAAAAAAGACACTCAACTGACTTTGTGGGTTTGACGATTATCCCATGTTATTGGACAATTTTGTTGTTACACCCGGTGTATATATATATATATATATATATATATATATATATATATATATATATATAATTTAGTGAGCCAGACAAAACTGGGTAGGTTTGTCTGGCTCACTAGGTGTATCTAGGTCTGCTCTACGGTTGTATTGAGCTCTTTTGTTAGTTGTTTACTCATATCGGGGTTTTTTCTTTGGGCTTCAAACCTGCATCTGTGCGATTTTTTTCGAAAGACTTTCATGTGTGTAGCTCTTTCTTTTGTTAAAACCTTTTTTTCCCTCGAGATTGATTTGATTATTAGCAAATCAAAAGTTCGAAGGTTTTTCGAAACGAGTATAGTTACCTATATTTGTATTTATATATACATATATATATATATATATATATATATATATATGTGTGTGTGTGTGTGAGTGTGCATGTGTGTGTAGATATGCGCATGTGTGTATGTAAGAGTGAATGTGTTTATGTGTGTGAGGGGGCTCTTTTAAAATACATCGTTGTGAAACAGAGGTAACCGGTCTATATCTGTCTGCTTGCTAGCGTCTCATTGCAGGTGACTAATCTCACCCACTGTTCTTTACCCGATGTCCTGCTATGGACTAGTGTCATTTGTAATTAAGAATAAAGTAGTGTAAAATA